GAGTGTTTTTCCCACGGCACACCTCACACTGTGCCGCGGCACACTAGTGTGCCGCGGCACAGTGGTTGAAAAACACTGGTCTAGTCTAGTCTATTCATTTTCTATATTCTGTTCTGTTCTGTTCTATTCTATTTTTCTTGTTCTATTGTATTATATTATATTTTCCATTCTTTATTCTATTTTCTTCTTTCTTCTTACCTCATTCCATTCCATTCTCTTCCATATTTCTTGTTCTGTTCTATTCTCAACTATTTTCTACTCTTTATTCTATTCTATTTTCTCCTTCCTTTTTTCCTCCTCCTCCTCATTCTATTCTTATCTATTCTATTCTATTCTATTCTACTCTATTCTACTCCTATTCCTACTCTACTGCCTTCCCAATAAAGTGGTGCCTATGTCAACTTTATCTACTTGCATTGGCAAGTTTTCAAACTGCTAGGAGAGCAGGAGCTGGGGTGAGAATCTTATATTTCTACATCACTTCATCTCCAGATGCTTCGGAGGTGTCAGTCAAGTGCTCCGAGTTTTCCAAAGGCATTGGACTCAAGCGAACATTTTTCCTGCCCTTTCCAAGCTGGAGATACCTGCGTTAAAAAGGCCATGGAGTAGTCGTTTCCCTGAGCGGCTACTTCTCGGATCAGATCCTTTGTCCCGTTTTTTAAGAGCTTCTCTTCGACCGAGTTCCCACTGACCAGCCTAGAGAAATCAAGAGAGGAAGCATGGCTTTAAAAGGGAGGGTTTTAAAGACAGCGCCTGAGAAAAACAGCAAAGCCACGGATAACAAAAGGCAGTCCTCCACTTACAACAGTTAGTTCAGTGACTGTCCGAAATTACAACATCACTAAAGAAAAAAAGTGACTTACGAACCATTTCTCACTTATGACAATTGCAGTATCCCCAGGGTCATGTGGTCAAACTTTAGACACGTGGCAGCTGACTCAAACCTATGACAGTTGCTGCATCAGAGGGTCATGCGATCCCCTTTTGCGACCTTGCGATAAGCAACATCAATGGGGAAGCCAAATTGACTTAACAACCATGTTACTCACTTAAAAAAAAACAATTCCTTAACTGTTGTGGCAAGAAAGGTCGTAAAAATGGAGCAAAACTCTCCATTCATTTACTTGACTTTTTCTTGATCTTAAATTTTTTATATTTTTTCTTTCGAATTTTTTTCTCCTTTTTAATTCTATTGTTCTAGTACCTCTCCTCAGTTTTTCCTTCCAATTTTCCCCAACATTCCCATTTACCATTTAAATGGATGGAGAGAAAAGACCTTAAGAGAAATGAAATTCCTGAGAAACTGAGAGAAAATGTTTAAAAAGAGAAGAAAGAGAAGCATTGGTTAATAGAATAGAATGAAATTTAGTGAATATAGCCAAAGGTTTATGCTTAATATAATGTGGGGGGGACACATTAAAATTACTATTTGTGGATAATTAAACAAAATGTTGAATATGTAAAATTAAATTTGAGGATACATGTTATGAACAGTGAAATAGAATAATAGATGCAAATGGACATGTTAAATGTGATTAATTAATAATTAATTTGGAGAGGCAAATAATGATATTGTCAATATATTAAGAAGGAATTAAAATTAAGCGGGAGATTATGTAATGAAGATACGATGACTAGAAATGGAAAATGGGAAAAAGATGTAAAATGTACTATGTATAATTAGAAGATGTACAGAGGGAAAAAGCCTGGACAACACTTTGTTTATAAAGAAGTTTTAAGTATGTAACAAAACAAAAAAAAAACTTTCCTTGGGGAAAAAAAATGGAGCAAAACTCACTTAGCAAATTTCTCCCTTAGCAACAGAAATTTTGGGCTCGGTTGTGATCCTAAGTCGAGGACTACCGGTATTGGATTAAAAAAAAAAAAAAAATTAAGAACCCGATTTGGAGGGATAGTGTTATAGGCTCGCCCTTATCTCCTGAGTTGTCTCTTCTTTTCCACCGGCATCACCTGTAAATGTGGATATCCTTGCACCGGCCAATCCGATCACACCACTCCTGAGCTTTGGCTTCCATCACCGGGTTTAAGTCGTTGTCATAGAACACGACGGTGTCGGCTTCCACCAGGTTGACGCCCGTGGAGCGGCTGTGGGAGGAGAGGATGGCGCAGAAGAGCCGTTTGTCTCGATTGAAGGTTTTCATCAGCTCCTGACAGAGAGGGAAGGACACACTGGTTTGCAAAAGCTCACGAGAAGATATACAGATATACCAGGGGTCAGCAATCTTAAACACTCAAAGAGCCATTTGGACCCGTTTCCCACAGAAAAGGAAACACTGGGAGCCACAAGAACTCCTTCCCGTGCCTGACTTTTCCCTGAGCAGCCGCCAAACTAGCCTATGTAGTTGAATGAAACATTGTGTTTGCTTCTGAAACTATTCTTTTCCTGGATTTATCCATCGTTCGCCTACTGGGGGTCGAAACGCTCAATAAATCATGTGCCGGCTGATGTTGCACATTGGCGGCGGTTGTGACGCATATTTAGAGCGACAGGGAGCTGCTTCAGAGGGATGAAAGAGACACATGCAGCTCCAGAGCACGGGTTGCTGACCCCTAAGATATACCGAAATACAGGATCATCTGCCGCATTCTCATTGGCTTAAAAACTAAACCTGGTAGGATTTGCCCAATGAAGCAGGCAGAAATCCATGTTTTATGACAGGGGTGTCAAACTCAAGGCCCAGGGGCCGGAGCCGGCCCACCGCATGCTTAGACCTGACCCGCAAGATCACCCTGGAAACAGCGAAGGACTGGTCCGCAGTGCCTCTGCCGGCAAAAATGGAGCTCGGGAGAGCTGCGGGTGACACTCCCGGGCTGTTTTCGCTGGCAGAGGGTTGCAAGTAGCTGTCCCAACAAAAAATGGAGCTCGGGAGCCTGTTTTCGCTGGCAGAGTACTCGGGCTACCACAGATGCCCCCAACACGAGTGATGTTGAGCTGGCCACACTCATCCCGTCGCCATCACCCTCCCCAAGGTGAAACAAAACCGTGATGCGGCCCTCAATGAAATCCAATTTGACACCCCTATATTATGACATCTGTGACAGGGTTTAGACGCAAAGTAAAACATACGATGAATAGTTTGAAAGGAACTGGTTATGTCTAAAAGTCTAAGGACGAGAAGGACTAAGGGTGACATGAGAACAGTCTTCTACTATTTGTGGGAGGGGGGGCTGTCCCAAGAGAAGACGGTATCGATCAATTTTCCAAAGTACCAGAGGGCAGGACAAAAAAAGCAATGGAAGGAAACGAATCAAGGAGAGAAGCAACCTGGAACTTAGGAAAAAAATCCTCACAGTGATGACAATTAATCAGTGGAACTCTCTAGAAGTTGTGGGTGCTCCCTCACTGGAGGTTTTCAAGAAGAGATTGGACAGCCGTGTGTCCAGAGCGGCACAGGATCTCCTGCCTGAGCTTGGGGGGTGGATTAGAAGACCTCTGAGGTCCCTTCCAACTTGGTTGTTCTGTTATAGACCTGAAAATGCTATGTGTGAACTTGCTCACTGGGTGCAAGTGGGCTTCCTCCCACAGTGAGCGTGCTCAGGGGGAAGTTACAAAAATCAAGTTCTGGAAAGAGCGAGGAAAAATAGCAAGACGGACCTGGCGCTCTTCCTGGTTTGCACACTCATCGATTCTCACGTAGGTGAGGAAATGGAAGTTGAGGAACCGTTCCAAGATGTCCAACATGAGCATCATCTGCGACAAGATCAGCACCCTTCGCCCTTCTGACTTCAGCTTCTGGAGCAAGACCGCCAGGGCTTCCAGCTTCCCTGCAATGCAAGAGGAAGAAGAAGAATCAGAGCCCGGGAGCCTGAAGTCATCTGTCAGGTTGATGGACAGGTGGAAATCAAGGCGTTTCCTCTACCTGCATCGTACTGGATCAGACGGAGGTCAGGGAAGGGAAGCAGCAGCCGGGGCATGGTCAGCTGATGCAGCTGCTTCAGGTACGGCAACGCCTTCTCCTTCAGGTTGTGCCGGAGGAGTTTCATCCGGTGGCTGTAAGCAGGGGGAAGCCTCGCCACGTGCAAAGACGGAGGAGCGGCCACAGCAGCGGGCAACGCACAGAGTGCCCTTGGGAACAAAGCACAACCATGTCAAATGTTCCTGGCAGGGCCATGTTGTCACCCGCCTGATTTCAAAACCTGCTCTGAATGAGGCTTCCCCAAGAGCCTGAAGCAAACTCGACAAAAACCCCTTTTATTAATTGATTAGGAATTCTGCTCATTCACATCCAGCAAAGTCTTTCAAGGGAGGATTTACTGTCACAGACCTTATCGGGCTTGGAAAGCTGCCAGGCAGATATCTGCAAAACTTGGCAAGGAGTCTTGGAGAGTCACAAACCAATTAAGCGAACTAATGGTCTCTTGCAAACTTCACTCCCCTTTCGCTTCTCTTTTATTCCCTCTGTGAGGGGCCATTCATCGTCCACCTGTGGCCTTAAACTCAAGTCAACGCCTGTTCTTTAACTGTTCCCTTCATCTGGCAACTCTGTGCATGTGCACACTGGGAACAGGCTCCAGCTGTTTGTCTGGCTCACTGATCTCTGACTCCGAAGGCAGCTGATAACTGGCATATGGCCCTGCCCCCCCCCCCCCCTGCCCCTGACGCAGAGCCCTCATCAGAGCCTTCCCCAGACTTCAGGACCGTCCCGTGTTCCTCCCCAACCTCCGAATCTGCTTCCAGCTCTGCTGGCCACTAACAGGCCACAACACCTCCTTTCTCTTTGACCTCAAGGGTAGACTCGGGTTTCTAAATGTCCCAGTGTTGGAAGACAATGTATAAAGTATGGAAAGTGCATCCAAAGTCTACATCTCAAGGCCCATGTTTCTCCCCAACCTCCTCACTGTCCAAATCTGCTGGCAGCTCTGCTGGCGGGCCACAACACACACAACTTAAAGTTGCAAAGGGTTGAGACCCCTGAACTAGGCAACCCCCTGAGCCAAGAATGCCCTTTGATAACGACTCAGTAGAGAATCGTTGGGAGGAAGACTCGAGCCAAGGATGGAGCTTGGAGTCACCTGTCGATGGTGTCCCTCAAGGACTGCTGCTGCTGTTCCAGCTGGCAGGTCAACCCTCCTAGAGGGTCTTGATGATCTTTGGAGAGACCGCAGTTGACGAAACCAGCCCAGCTCCATTTTCTGGTTCTGGCGGAGAACTGAGGTGTTGTTGTGTTGGAGTTGCCCACCAGGGAGCAAATCCTACGGACATCCTTGCCGTAGACGGGAGCTCTGGAGCAACGCCGTTCGTTGCAAGAGAAGATCCGGTCCAAGCGTTCCTTCAGAAGCCTGTTTTTCTCCTCAAACGACTCCTTGGTAGAAGACAAAAACAAGAATGCCCAGAGCGGTTGCAGAGATCATTAATTCTCTAAAATTAGAAAGATTAAAGTTCTACAGCTGCCTGCTGGGATGCCTTGTAAACTTACAGCCTTGCTTACACCAAAAATAACTATAAAGTGTAGCCATCCCCCCCCCCCAAATTTAAAATACGCAATTTCACCTTGAAAAAAGAGGACAAACAATAGCGACAAAATGAAATAAAATTGTGCAAAAGGCCAAGGGAGGAAGGGAAGGGAGGAAGGGAGGGAGAGAGAAGAAAGAAAGAAAGAAAGAAAGAAAGGAAGGAAGGAAGGAAGGAAGGAAGGAAGGAAGGAAGGAAG